CCCCGCAGCCTACCTGAACCGCCGCTACGGCCTCATCAGCACGGGCTCGGACAGCGAGTCCCCGGCCGCCCGCTCCGAGTGCCCCAGCCCCTGCCTGCAGCCCCAGGACCTGAGCCTCCTGCAGATCAAGAAGCCCCGGGTGGTGCTGGCGCCCGAGGAGAAGGAGGCGCTGCGCAAGGCCTACCAGCTGGAGCCCTACCCCTCCCAGCAGACCATCGAGCTCCTGTCCTTCCAGCTCAACCTCAAGACCAACACCGTCATCAACTGGTTCCACAACTACAGGTGAGCTCCTGGGCGGCGGCCCCAAGGAGGGCGGGGAGGCCTCCCCTGGACCCTTCTCCTCCCAGGGCCTGGAGGGAGCCCAGCTCGGCCCACGAGACGGGGAGATGGCCTCACGTAGGTGTTAGTACAGAGCCTGGGGCCACCTCCAGCTATGGGGCCCAGGGGGTGGGTCAGTCCACTCTGTGACCGTCACCGTGGTCTTCTGACCCGTAAAGGGGGCAGAGATAGAATCTACTTCCCAGAGCTGTCCAGGGGGCTCGATGGCCTAGCCTGAAATACTGGCCCACGTACGTGGCGGCTACGGACGTGCCTGCTGGTACTGTGTGCACTACTGCTCACCCAGCTTGCCTGCCGTCTCTAATAGAGACAGGGAACGGTATCGGGGTACAGGCCCAAGGAACCCTGAGTACTCACTGAGCCTCATGTGAGCCCCAAGTTGGGGCGGCTGCCCCTCCTGCTCTCCAGGCTAAAGAACCCCCACCGCCAGTACCCTGTCGAGGGTCCACCGACCTCGGGGGTGGGTGTTCCTGCTTCAGTGGCTACCTCTACCATGGCCCGGCCTGCCATGGCCCGGCCTTCATGGATGTTTCGTCCTGGGGGAGACGACAGGGGGGCTTCCTGAAGCCAGCCGAGGAGACCCCATGGAGAAGGCTCGGCCAGGCTTGCAGGCCCATCTCTGGGGCAGCCCGCCAAACTTCCTGAGCAGGGGCATCTGGGGCTCATGAGGCCTCCGAGGAGAGTCCCCTGTCCATCCCGGTGCAGAGAGAAGGTCTCTTGACCCCCGGGGGAGGGAAATGAGACCTGTGGGGCCAGGCACTCAGAGCTCCACTCCCCTCAGCCTGGTCATCGACACCACCCAGCCCTGGGGCTGTGCAGCCCTGGGCAAGTCACTTTCCCTCTCTGAGTCTCATCCTCCTTTTACAGATAAAGGACCTAAGGCCCACCCCAGTACACTTGATTGTGGACCAAATGAAATCACTGTGGTGTAAACACACCACAGACTCTTGCTTATCACCTGGCTGAGGCCAGAGCCTGTCAGCTGACATGGGTCCTTACAGGCGTCTCACCTCCTCTGCCTCTCTCTGGGTGAACTGAGCACGCCATTATTATCCATCATAATTATGTGACAAATACAACGTGTGCACGTAGCCAGGGCTTGGCGATGCAGGGGCTCCGCACCTTCACCCCTGCCCCTAAGGGGTTTACAGAGACCTGCACCAGAGCCTTACAAATACTGGCAGCTGGAGGGAGCAGGGCGAGGGCAGGGAATTCTGCCTGGGAGGAGTACAGAGGAGGTGGCATTCGAGCTGGGTTTCCAAGAATGGATAGAAGTGTGCACCGAAGACCAGAGAGGATCCTGTTCCCACAGAGACGACTCTGTGAGCTGTAGTTACGGAATACATCGTTCTACTTGGTAAATGTCGCGTTTCGTGTCAGGCACCGCAGAGAGCAAGGCAGAGTCCCTGCCCTTAACATCGTTCACCCAGCAGGCAGTCATTCCGTACATGATTACAAACCGCAGTGAGTACTGGGAAAGGCGGATAGGATGTTTTAGAACAAAAAGGACCAGAGAGGCCCTGCTTTAGATCTGAGAGTCAGGAATGATTTTAAGACTAATTTATACTAAGGTGTGGATGACCATCGGCCTCACAGCTGTGCTTGATCTATCGCTAAGTGTAAATTATTATTAACATAAGTGGGCAGGTTGTTGGAGGGAGGAGGGACAGAAACGAGAATAGAGCTCACGGCATCCTGGTTCTGGTCCCTGTGTCAGGTCACCATGCCTCATTGCCCTCTAATCATGAAGCCATAGGCATTGAGCCATCCCGGTCCCCCTCAAATCCCACCTCAATGGAACCACAAGGGCTCCCCTTGGTCCCAGCTGTCCTTCTTTGTGCAAAGTGACTAAAGCCCCTTCTGTAGAGAGACTGAGAACGGAAGTGGGGAGAGAACAGATGACCCTTCATGGTCCCTCCGGGCCCAGCATCCTGGGATACGCTCACCTAGGCAGGAAGGAGGGCAGCCAGGGGACCAGCCTCAGAGCCAAGCTCACCACTTGCTGGCTCGGTGACCATGGCAAGCCCCGCACTGCCCCGAGCCTGATCTCCTTTCTCTGGGGATCAGACCGGCGGCCATCGTGAGGTTGTTATGAACAAGAGAACCAAACCCCAGAAGTCGCTCCACCAGTGCCTGACCTGTGGTTTGCACCCGTCGATATGATCTTTGTAACTGCAAGTTATAGTTAGTATTAATATTGCTAAGTATAACATTTTTTTTTCTGGAGAGGTTTTTGCTATAGGGCACATGTGTTTGCCAGAAAGACAGAGAGAGACAGAGAGACAGAAAGTGAGAAATCACCCGCTGGGGGGATGGCCACGCCACAATCCCTTCTCCTCCATTCTTCTCTCGGGATCTTGGGCACGCACGCACACGCACCTGGCGTGAGTTTAAGCCACCGGGGCCAAGACTCGAACTACGGTCAGCTACATGGGAGTCCAGCGACGTAGCCATTATGCTAAGTGTAAATTATTATTAACATAAGTGGGCAGGTTGTTGGAGGGAGGAGGGACAGAAACGAGAATAGAGCTCACGGCATCCTGGTTCTGGTCCCTGTGTCAGGTCACCATGCCTCATTGCCCTTCTGGGTTGATGTCAAAAGGCACAGGGAGAGGTTGCCGTAAGATGAATCAGGGTCTGACTTTGAGATGTGTTCTCCAGTGGCACTATCCAATAAAAATGCAATGCTAGCCACATAGGTAATTTTATATTTCTTAGTAGAACGAAATTTTTTTAAAAATTAAAAACAGGGCCAGCCATGGCATGGTGGTTAAGGCAACTGGATCCCACATGGCTGACTGCGCAGTTTGAGTCCCAGAACCAGTAGCTTGAAAACATGTCAGGCGTGTGTGTGAGTGTGCCCAGAATCCTGACAGGAGAATGGAGAAGAGATTACAGCGTGGCCATCCCCCCTGCCCGGGGGGTACTTTCTCACTTTCCTTCTCTCTCTGTGTGTCTGTCTGTCTCCAGTGAGCGTATGCACCATATAGCAAAATTTTTAAAAGAAACAGATGGAAGTCGTCATAATGGTATATTTTATTTGGCCCTGATAACAAAAACATAACCATTTCGACATGTAATCAGTATTAAAATATTAATGAGCGTTTTTACGTGTTTTTTGTACCTAGCCTAAGCTCAGTGTATAGGTTGCCTTTAAAGCACAGGTCGCAGTGCAGGTGCTTAAGAGCCGCGTGTGGCTGCTGGTTCTTGTGCTGGACACCACAGGCCTAGGTCATGGGCTTTGGTATCTAATAGTCCTGAGATCAGGTCCTGGCTCTGGCCCTTACTAGCTAGATGACCTGGGGCGAGTCGTTTAATATCTGCAGGCCTCACTTCCTCCCCCGTGAAGTGAGGATTACAATGTACCTACTTCTAGGGCTCTCAAGTGGACTTAAGATGATGCATGAGAGAGACTTAGTCCTGCTGGGCCCTAGGGCGGTGGGCGGGGTCATACTGCTGCTCATATAGACTGAGGGTTGTGGGGTCCCTGCCCAGCCCCTGGCTCACCGCAGTCTCTGCCCCAGGTCCCGGATGCGCAGGGAGATGTTGGTGGAGGGGACCCAAGACGAGCCAGACCTCGACACAAGCGGGGGTTCTGGAATCCTACCGCCAGGCCACTCCCACCCAGACCCCACTCCGCAGAGCCCCAACTCGGAGGCTGAGGACCTGAAGCCTACCGTGAAAGAACTGGAGCTCCAGGAGGGTGCCGAGGAGAGCACACCCCTGGGTGCCCAGGACAAGGCCCCAGTGAGGATCAAACAGGAACAGACAGAGGACGATACTGAGGAAGAGGCAGGCAGCGAGCCCCGGGACTTAGGGGAGCCTGACAAAGGCCACGGTCCCCCCAAAGAGGAGCATCCTGACCTTTTGGCTGACGAAGGACTCTCAAAAGTGGCCCCAGGACCTCTCCTTCCAGGTGGGACAACCCCAGACTGCCCCTCACTACATCCCCCCAAGGAGAGTGAGGCTGGGAAGCGGCTTCACCCGGACCCACTAAGTTTTAAATCAGCCTCCGAATCCTCACGCTGCAGCCTGGAGGTATCACTGAACTCACCCTCAGCTGCCTCCTCACCAGGCCTCATGATGTCTGTGTCACCCATCCCCTCCTCCTCAGCCCCCATCTCCCCGTCCCCACCTGGCGCCCCTCCTGCCAAAGTGCCGAGTGCCAGCCCCACAGCCGACACAGCCGGGACCTTGCACCCTAGCGCCAAGGTGAAGCCTAACTTGCAGCGGCGGCATGAGAAGATGGCGAACCTGAACAGCATTATCTACCGGCTAGAAAGGGCTGCCAATCGGGAAGAAGCCCTAGAGTGGGAGTTCTGAAGGTGGGCCCTAGGGGGCTGGGGCATATCCCAGCAACCACCTTCTTTCTCCCACTCACTCTCTGGGACAGGCTAAGGTCAAGGAGAGAGGAACTTAACTATCAAAATGTGGGCAGCAATGTTATGCCATTTACATTTTTTGTTATATTCCTAGTTCTATGAAGTGTGAGTGCGTGGATGGGGCAGAGGCCCACGCTTCCTCTTTTTGGCACCCCCTGCCCTCCAAAGCCGCAAGAATCCTGCCCCTCTTCTCCACCCTGAGCCCTCTGCAGGAGGCAGAAGCAAAATGATGCCACATTTTCACCTGAAAACTCCAAACTCTTTTAGAAAAATAAATAAATATTTATAGACCTCTTTTAGATATTTTAATAAAGGATCCTTTGGAATTTATTCCCAGCCAATGCTGTTTTGATATTACAGAGTTATAAAATCAGGATGCTGTCACAACTGTTGCGAAGTATACACTGAAGTTGTGTCGTTTTTGCCACTAGATGAGATTAAAAGAAGACAATTGTTCAAAGCCATCACGAAACACTATAAGACTGACCAAAATTGAGATAACCTTTGAAATGCAGTTTTTTTTCCACGTCTGTCTGTGAGACACAGCACATTGCTACTGCCCTTCCAGAAACCATGCTGAGAAGATAAAGTCCAAAAGACTCTAAATGAAAACCTCGATGCTGTTGAGGATGAGTTTCAGCCCGGTGGTCTGTTTAGCAACCTTGATCATGCCAAGTGCCCGTCCCTCACCGTCGTAAATGTTGCAGGACACGGGCGGCCGTGGCCTACGTGCACGATGTAGCCTGGGCCCGAACAAACAGCTGACTCAATTAGAAACCTTGGGCCACAGAGCTGGGACAGCCATCTTGTCCATCTGTAGACCAGAGGTGTTTCCAGATCCTTTGGAAAGCCAGGCATGGGGGCAGGTGCTTGGAGAAAGTGGCACTAGAGCTAGAGTGACCCCGTGTCCTCCCAAAATTGTGGCCGCAACCCCAGAAGGTTCCCCCCTGGTCTGAGTGTGGGCATTTCAGAGCCAGACTGTGGTCGCCTCCTGGTGTTTTCGGAGAGTGACAGTGTTGGTCACTCCACACGCTCAAGCTTAGCAACCTGCGCCAAAAAGTAGCTTGAGCAGAGTAGAGACCTCAACTGCCCTTCTCGCCATCTTCCCCCTCAAGTCACTCCTGGTGCTGTTTCTGGAAGGCATCTGCAACTCCAAGGCCGTGCAGCACCCTGGAAGGCCGAGCAGGCTGCAGCATGTCCACCGTACCCTAGCTCCAAGTCCATCCCCGCCCCCCGCCTTCCAATGCCTGACCTGCTGGGGAGAAAGGCCCCAGCCCCCAGCTCCGAGGAGCCCTTCCTCCCATGTCTTCACAGTTTCTAAGGAGAGATTCCCCAGCTGGGCGGACCAGTCTCCATATTGGTCGTTGAATCTCTGCTTTTATTTCTTTTGCTTTTTAAACTCCGCGGGAAGGCTGAGTTGGGTGACTCCCTAGAATGACAATGGAAAGGTGACCATACTCGGTGCCAATGCAGTGCTGGGGGGGAGAGATGGCCAACAGAGCTTTCTAGGGTGCAGTGAGTGTCTCGAAACTGTCTGGGCGACACCCAGGGACCAGAAGGGACCAAGGGAGGATTGTTCCAGAAATCCCTTGCACACCAAGCCCAGGCTGCAGCCTCCACCAGAAACAGTAGGCAACAACACAAACCCTGATGGAAAACCTCCTTTTCCATACACCCCGGCTATGCATTGAAGAGTTTTCCACTGTATACATTTTTATCCAGATGAAGGTATTTTTATATTTTGACAATAGGAAACAGTGACCAGTTTTCAGAGTCATCAAATCTGGAACAAAGGAAACATCTCCTTTCAGTCACCACCGCCCAGTTGCAATCAGGACAACCCAGGGGGCACACACCACTTTTTACTGCTGAAACCAACACAGCGTTGAAACCCAGGCTTCCACACAGACTCGGAATCTGAGCGAGCAAAATTCGGCTTTAGTGCGACGGGATGTGATGAAGCACTTAACCTGTCGTCTTTCGAACACACAAATCCTGTTGTACTGAAAGCTGGCGGGCCCGTGAACGACTTCGTCAGGTTCATGTCCTACGACGGTAAAAACAAACGCCCACCCACAAACCGTTTCTATGAGAGATTGATGAACTTTGTTTAAAATTTTAAAAAAACGGAACACGTTCTGTAAACGAGTCGCTAAATACAGAATTGTATAATAATGCTGGGTGTCCTGCAGCTTTGTTCTGTACCTGGGGTACAAACGGGGTCACTTCTGGCCCCCAGAGTTGTTTTACAACAGGGCATTTGTTAAAAGCTGGTCTCCGTCGTTATGCTGTGGGGACGTGCCACGTAAAAACTGCCATTACCAGCATCTCCTGAGGTCCAAGATCTGGCTGCATGGGGCCCAGTTTACCGTGACAACAGCCAGCTGAGGAGAGGCTGCCTTAGACAGGGCACATGGTCGTGACGTCCCTTGGCCTTCTCCTGTGACCCCCGTCTCCCGGGCTCTGCGCGTCTGCTGACAGCCGTGCTCTGCCCTCCAGCTGCAGAGAGGAGGTTGGGAGGGCTGGATTCTGCCTCTCCATGGCAGCCAGCTCGAGGGGTCCCCGAGGAGACTCAGTGGGGCATGTGGAGATAGCACCTCAGAGGACTTAGCCCCTAACTGTGATTACGCGTTAGCGGGGTCAGTGGGGACTCTGACCTGTGACTGCTATCCGGTCAGGCTGCTGGAGGGAGGTGTTCGTGAGCAGTAGTGTCAGGGGGGCCCTGCAGGTGGCACTATACATGGCTCACCCGTGAGCCAGAACCACGTGGTGTCCCAAGACAGGCCTGGCCTCTTCGTCTGGAAACTGTGCATCACCCCAGTTTGCCACACGTCTCTGGAGTGAGGAGGAAATGATCGTTCCCGCTCTGTTAGGATAACCAGTTGCTCCCAGCCGAGCAGGAAGGCGTCCTGGGATGCCTGGGCACCCCATGGTGGGGGTTGGGTGGCCCTGGAGCTCAGAGCTGGCCCATCCTAGTCGGGGAGGGAACTGGGCTGTAGAGCTGGACTGCCTGAGTTCCAGCCCCGCTCTGCCTCTCAAAGCTGTGTGACCTTGGGCAGGTGCCTGAACTGCTCTGTGCCCAGATTCCACAGCCGTGAAGTGGGCGTGATAGTAATGCACACGCTTTCAGTTCCTTAAAGCTCATAGTAAAGGCTCGAATTACAGAAAGTCAAGGGTGCCCGTCAGACCTTGGTCCTCAGCACTTAAGGTCAGAAGTCAGGAACCCCCAGGGTTGGCGCCTGTGGGGTGTAGGAGCAGGGCAGGGTGTCAAGCCCACAGAAGCCCCTGCGGGAACCCGAGACAGCAGAGATGAAGCCTGGTGCTTGGCGCTGCATGGTGTCTGCATCACTGCCCCGAGCAACAGTTACGGCTAAGACACAAAAGCAGGATTCTGAGCTGAGGAGGGACTGGAGAGGGACAGAAGGCCCAGAAGCCTTGCAGGAGGAGGTGGTGGAGAAGAAAGCCAGGGCGAGGGCAGTTTGGCAAGTGTCCATTCCACTAGTTAGCATTTAGTGAGTTCCTAAACTGCTCAATGCTCTGAGGGAGGAAGCCATGGGTCATGAAAGCATGAGCAGTGAGGTCCAGGAAGGCTTCCTGGAGGTGGGGTTATCTCAGCTGGCACCTGAAAGAGGAGGAGAGTTAGAAAGGAGAACCAGTGTAGAGGGAAGAGCAGAAAAGAGATGGAGCAGGAATAAGAACAGAGGGACAAAAGAGTCCACAAAAGAAACTAGCATTTGGCGTAAGGAAGGAGGAGGAAGCCGGCCAGGGGCCAGCTCATGAGTCACAGCCTGGTGGGACATATACCTTTCTCCTGGGGGCACCGGGGAGCCACGGGCCACTTGTGGGGTGGTATTCTAAAGGCCCAGCTCCCCACAGCCCAAGCATCAGGTGGTATCGCTGTGGAACCTGGTACCTTTGCAGGCACCTGGGGTGCTGAAGCCACCGCTCCAGACCCAGGAGCAGTGAGGATGGAGCAGGGAACACACCCAGAGGGCCAGCCAGGTAACCTTGGCCCAGGCCAAGGTGACAGTTGACCTAGGTCACCTGCACGTTGTAAGAGGGGGGAACTGGTGCCCTTAACTCATCCTCCACCTTCTCTGGTCCCTGGGTTACAGTCGTTCTGGCCCTGGCTTTGAACTCAGCCTGGCCTGCATTTGAATCTCCACTCCCAATGAGTCTGTTTATCTGTAAAAGGGACACGATCAGGGCCAGCAGGTGGCATGCTGGTTAAGGCAGTGGACTCCCACATGGCTGACCATGATTTGTGACCCAGACCTGCTGGCTTGTTTTCTCTCTTTCCAGCATTTCAGATCCCTGATCTGAAATGCTTGGGACCAAGATTTCTCATTGCTTTGGATTCTGGAATATTTGCATGTACATATGAAATACCTTAGGGGTGGGACCCAAGTCTAAACACAAAATTCATTTATATTCCACACGTGACCTGAAGGTAATTTTATACTGTGTGTGTGTGTATACCCTTTTTTTTTTTTTTTTTTGGTGACAAGGATGAGTCTTTTTTTTTTAGAATTATTTTATTTATGGAGCCGGCAGGTGGCGTGGTGGTTAAGGGCACTGGACTCCCACGTGGCTGACACAATTTGAGTCCCAGACCTGGCGGCTTGCCTTCTCACTTTCTCTCTCCCTCTCTGGTCAAATTTTTAAATAAAATCAAATAAAGAAATTATTTATTTATTTATTTAAATTTGGCCAGAGAATGACAGAGTGAGAAAGAGAGAGGGAAAGAGGGGAAAGAGACTAAGGTGCCAGGCCCAGGACACGCACCGCAGTCGGCGATGTGGGAGTCCAGCACCCTTAACCACCATGCCATCTGCCGGCCCCAGGGTAACTCTAGTTTTAACTATTGGCCAAGCCACTGTTCTGTTTCCCACAATGACTCCATCCACCAACAGTGAAGCCTGTTGTCTTCTAGTTTGGCTTGTTCGGTCTGGGCAGCAGCCATCCTGAGGGTATGAGCTGGTATCTCCTTGTAGTTTTCAGGAGCGACCTTGAACAGCTTTCCATGTGTTGATTGGCTACCTGTGTAAACTCTAGTTTTAACTATTGGCCAAGCCACTGTTCTGTTTCCCACAATGACTCCATCCACCAACAGTGAAGCCTGTTGTCTTCTAGTTTGGCTTGTTCGGTCTGGGCAGCAGCCATCCTGAGGGTATGAGCTGGTATCTCCTTGTAGTTTTCAGGAGCGACCTTGAACAGCTTTCCATGTGTTGATTGGCTACCTGTGTATCTCTGCAGAATGTATTCAAGTCCTTTGCCCGTTTTTTAATAGGGTTTTGCTGTTGAGTTGTAGAAGTTCTGTCTAGTCTCCGTTACCAGTCCCTTATCAGACTATAAATGCTACGCGAATATTTTCTCATGGGTGCACTTTTAAAAAGTCTTCCCTGGGGGCCAGCTCAGGGTATGGTGGGTGAGGCAGGTAGATCCCACATGGCTGACTGCAGTTTGAGTACTAGACCCAGCAGCTCGAGGAACACACTAGACACGTGTGCGTGCATGCCCTGTGGGGGGAGGCGCTTTCTCCCTCACGTGCACGCGTGCCCAAGTGCATCAACACTCTAGCAAAAATTGGGGAGAAAAAGTCTTTATTAGAAAATACAAACTCAGGGCCAGCAGATGGCATAACTGTTATGCTGCTGGACTTCCACACGGCCGACCGTGGTTCGAGTCCCAGACCCGAACCTTGAAATACACCAGGCATGTGTGTATGTGTGTCTAAGAGCCTGGGAGAGCAGAGTAAAAGGGATTGCGGTGTAGCCATCCCCACGGGGAGTGATGGTTCATGTTCCCTCTCCCTGTCTCGGTCTGTCTCTCTCCCTGGTGAGCGCACACACCCTAAGGCCAAAACCTCATCCCCCCAAAAAGAAAACAGAAACTCCATGACTGGGCTTAACGTTTCTCATTTCACCACTGTGGAACAGTTTCATTTGGGATGACGCCTGATTTTAGAAACCGAGACAGGCAGCAAGGCCTTTTTCACAACAAAGCTCGTGTGAGGTGAGGTAAGGTGATCCGAGGGGAGCCAGGGGAGCGGTCAGCTGGCACCAGGTTTAGCCACAGCCAGGACAAAGCAGCCCCACTTAGGAACACACAGACACTGGGCTGGACGGGGACACGCTGCTGGCTCAGAATTCGCGCTGTGCTTCTTTCAGAAGAGGAGGGATGGAGGAGGAATGGAAGGCTTACGAGGGAAGAACGGGCGGCAACACCCCGCTCGGGTTCCAGGGACTCTGGCCTGCAGTTGTTACCCAGGGCTACCCTCCTCAGGAGCAGCGGCATTCACTCCCACTTGTCTATTAGGAAGACTCGCGGCAAACAACAAAAAAGTCCTGCTTAAAGCTTAAAACAAGGACATTTTATTACCTCTGGGAACAAGATGTCCAGAGGTAGGGCGGGTTCCTGGGTCTGCTGTTGCAGCCGTTCAAGGTCTTTAAGTGTATGCCCAACTTAGCGTGGAACTTTCTTTAGAGTGGTCTACTTCATGATGGAAAGATGGCTGCCACAGCTCCAGGCATCACAGACATCACTCCCTTCTCCCTCCTCCCCCCAAAAAACAATGAAGAGCTCTTTACTGTATCTCCTTTTTAAGAAACAAGAAGACTCTAACAGTCTGGTCTCATTGGCCCAAACTGGGTAATTCAGGCATTCTTTGGCAGCTAAAGTACAAGCAAAGTGGCGATGGCATAACTGACTTTGACTCATCTTCTTGGGTGGTGGATACTGGACAACCCACAGCCTCTGCCTGAGTGCTCCCCGTAAGGGTCTTAGACCCTACCCCAAGTGTTTTCTTAGACTAGTCCTCCTCACAAGCTTGGTATCCCCCCAGATGTGGGCCCTGAACCCCTCCCTCAGGAAAGGAAACATCCGCGTACTTGCAGGGTAGAGGCTCATCTCCACATCGATCAACTTCCTCCCCCTCCACCTTGTGGTGACCTCGATGGGCACACTCCTGCCAGCAAGGGCACACCTGTGACCTGCCCGCTGCAGCTGCCTCTCCCCCTCTGCCTGTCCCCTCGGTGCTCCATGCTGTGGTCACAGATGACTCAGCCTGTGTGGACAGCCACTTCCCCAGCCCCCATCCGTCAGCTGTGATCCCGCAGAAGGTGGAAAGAGCCACTCAGCAGGCCCTGGTGCTCACGAGTGGTATGAATCCCTGACCACTCCACTCTGTGAACAGGGCTGTTCCAACGTTGTTCCTCCTAAGCCATGTGAGTTTCCAGGCTGTGACTTTCCAGGCTGGCAAGGGCAGCCTGAGTCCACATTACGAAGACCAGTCCCTTCCCTTCTGTGACTCTCCATCAGCCCGGCAGCCAGCCAGCCAGCCAGTCCGAGGTTGCAGACACACTGCATGAGCACTGCCGCCAGCCCCACGCTCACAGCAGACATTACTAATCAATGCCGGCTCTGTCTCTCTGAACTTGCACAGGGGCCTAGGACCGGATCAGTGACACTCTTCCCCAGATCTAGGTCATCACTAACGTCCCTCCCAACTCTCAGGTCTCATCTTTCCTCCTGCTTTCTCTCCCTTCTGAAAAGACCTCTGTGCACCCTTTCCTCCATGTGTCTTCTGAAGGCTCTGCCCTGTGCCGACACCCCCCAGCTGTGCGGTCCCGGCAAATTTCCCAACCTCTCTGAGCCTGTTTCCCCATCTGTAAAATGGGGACAGCAGCTGCCTCCGGAGGTTGTGAGCCACACTCTTCCCTCCCAGGCAGGGCCTGCTCCACGCTCTGCTGGGCAAACCAGTCAGGGGTTGGGACAAGGGAAATGACACAACCAGGCACTACATGACAAATATGTTTATTTCAGCCCTTGCACCCCCCACCCAGCCTGGAGACAGCCCACTCTGTCCTGGGCTTCGGGGGGCAGGGCAGGGCCACTGTACCTTTAGAGTTTGTAAACCTGCACCAGGACTGGGGGACAAGCCCCCACCCCTACCCAACCCCCACCACTTATGACTGGGCAGGGAGGGGCATAGGGTGTACCATGACCTGCTGGAAGGCGAGGAACCAGGCGGGATTCCCTCCTGAGGGGCCTCTGCCTTTCCAGGATGTGCACCTTTGTCCCTGGGGGCAATGCCAGTTGTCCCCTGCAGCAAGCCCAGGGCAGGGCTTCATCCCTTCCCACCAGCTGAGTGAAACAAAAGCAGTGAAAACGACAAGCTTTGTTACCAAGAAAATAATAAAATAACCTCCTCAATATTTAAAAATAAATTCACAGGGCAGCCCAGACCCACTGAGCCAGCAGTGAGCCAGGAGGCCTTGGCTGCAGACTCCAACATCCCATATTGCCCCAAGCCCTGGGCTCTCCAAAGACAGGAGGTGTCCTCAGGGGTCCTGGAGGGGTCGCTGAGGACTGTAAACATGACCCAGGTTGAGGGCCGAGGGGGGTCCTGGCCCCTGAGGTTCTTCCTGGATGAAGATTGGGCACTGCGGTGAGCGAGAAGGAAAGGGAGCCCATGGCGGCCAGCCTCGGAGCACAGCTGGGCTGGTCTCCCTGGGATTGTGGAGGGCTGAGCACAGAACGGGGGGACTGCGGTGGGGACACCACATGGGGTTGGGGGCTCTGGAAGCCCACTGTAGCTTTGCAGCCATTTCCCCTCTGCCACTGGGCCAGCACTGGGCTTTCTCTCCCTGGATGAACCTGCTAGAAAGTCAGGTCAGCCCAGCTGGTGGCTGTTCTCGAGGGCGGAGCTGAAGGAGGCAGGCAGGAAGGGTCCAGAGGAGCACCAGGTCCGGGCTGGCAGGTGCCCAGGCAGGCTGCAGGCAGAACCTGGGAACCGGGCCACCTCACCCCACCTGTCTGCACTGAGCCCTGCCCAGCCTCCCTTCAGTGCCCCCGCGGCCACACCAAGAGCCAGGCCAGCTGCTCAGGCCCAGGTGTGGCAGCAGCAGCAGTGGCGGCTGAGCCCACTCCTGCCCTCCCAGACGTTTCGTTTGGGCACAGACCACCAGCAGGCCCCGGCAGCCACCTGAGCAGGGCCCAGCAGAGGCCCGCTGCCAGGAAGAGGCCTTTGCCAAGTAGTAGGGGCCAAGTAGCCACAGCACCCAAGGCAGGCCCG